GTTTTCTTTAAATATTCTCAACTTGTGTTCAATAATTGTAAAATTTTTAATTCCATGTGAGTTTAAGTTCGATAATTATGTCAAAAAATGTGTTCAAAAAGTTTTGAAGATTTAAAGTTTAATTTAACGACTTTTTTCATTTTTCGAAATGATGCGAAATCTTTGCAGCATCTATTAAAAGATGCGAAATTTTAGAATCGATTGATTCTAGGATTCAAATGCTTTTCGCTTCATTATCAAAATTTGATGCAAAGATTTACTTAAAAAAGACGCAAGAATTTAAATTTCAAAAGTTCGTTCGAAATTTGTTTAAACATTTGTCATTCATTTCTTCTACAAAAATTAGCAAATAATTCACGAATAAAAATATTAAAACACGTGGCCTACATTATATTGTGAATAAGTAGAAATTCATCAAATAAAATAAGAGAAAATAAAAATCACCGCCTAAGGATTTTCATGAAAATTCAATGAAGATCAGCACGTGTTGTATTTCATCAGTAATAAAAATATCGAAAATAAATTTCCATTCTAAATTTCCTTTGATTTCTCAATAAGATAGATTTAAAAAGTTGAGAAAAATTCTCATTTTTGTAAATATTAATAGTAAAGCCCGAAACTTTAAATTTAAATTGCAAAAATGATAAAAAAAAGCATTTTCCAATTACTTTCTTTAAATTCCTTTTTAATTGTAGACAAAAAAAAAGATATCCACTAGACTCGATTCAACTCGTTATAAATAAAAAATAATTTTCCAACGCAAAAAAAAATATGAAAAGATTAAGAAACTTAAGAAATGTTTAATAATTTTGTGCCAATCTGAAGGTAGACAAAAATGCGATAAAAAGCTCCGAGTAATTAGAAAAAAAACAAAGATTATTAAATTAAAAAAAAGCTTTTGAAGCCTGTTAAATGAAATTATTAAGAAATTTTACAATTTATGCGTAGACATCTCACACAACACAAATAAAAAATAAAAATCTTTATTGCATACACAATGGAAATTATGAATAAAGTAACTATCATAATCAAATAAATTGAAAATTACTTAAACATGAAATTGCATTGTGATTGGAACAAAAAAAGAATCCTAAAAGTTTTCAAATAACAAGTTTGTTTGAGGTTGGGTGGCACTTTCCTTTGGTTTGTTCTAGTTTTATGAGGTTCATTTTTTCTTAGCAATTTTTGAAAAATTCTTAATTAAATTTCACTTTGACCCAGTCTATGTTGAATTTAAGTCAGTTTTGAATTGAAAATTTCACAAAAATAGCTATGGTTGATTAATTATTCGACTATATTGCAAAATTTCCCAAAAACTGTTAAAATATAGAAAAAAAACTTTAATTTCTTTGAAATTGAGCTTTTTAAGTCAGAGTCTTTAATTTTAATTTTCAATCCCCAAAAAAACATTAATTTCTGCAAATTAACCATCAATCGATGTAAATACATCATCTGATCATGTAGATATCATAATTCAAAAGTCAACATTTTGCGAATATAGCACATAAGAGCAATATCATAAGAAAAGAGCCCAACCCCAGATGATACACGCATGGAGCTTACAAATTAATTTATTTAAGTGAAAGCTCGACCTATTTGATGATAAAAATGAAAATATATAAAACAAAAATATAAAATTAATAAAGTATTGTTGCATTATACATACATGATCAAGCCACTAAAAAAATGCGAAAAATGCCTTCACTTAAAATAAAAAGAAATTAACACACTTTAAAAAAATGAAAACTTTTCATGACAAAGATAAGGATAAAAAGTAAAAATTAACATAGCAAAGATCTTTAAACATAAATTATAAAAATCACACAAATAAAAAAAAATTACTGCAGCAAAAATACATCAAGAAAGAAAATCATCCACTTAATTTTTCTTCTACTTATGTCCATCGTATTGTAACTTCTTCCTTTTTCGTAGTATCCTTACATAAAATATATCTTTTTTGAAAATAATCAAAATGAGAAGAAAACTTATTTCTTATTAATTAAATTAAATTATATTAAATTTATAGTAAGAATGATAATGATGATAAAACTTTTGCTTTTGAAGCGATTTGAAATGGTTGATTAGGAAAAAAATTTGAAAGGTGGAGTTCTCTCCCAACCTCCGAAGAACGAGGTTGTTGAACTGTGCATTTCTCCAATTTTTAATTAATCACGTGTAGGAAGCTCTCAAAAAATAGTTTAAGGTCTTTATTAAGAACCAAGGAACAGATAGACAAAGGAGAGAACTCAACAAAGTCGCGATTTAATCAAAAATTTGAAGATAAATTAAAAATGAGTAATAAATCCAGTCACCACAAAATGATTGATAAAAACTCATCGCGATTTTTGGGAAAACACGAAAAACTCTCCTCTCAATTGCCGATGATCAAGTTTCCGTTTATTATGTCTGTGGTTTGTAAAACTTTCATTTTGTCTAGGTTATGTGCAAAAATTTGCACTATTTTACTCAATTTTGATTTGTCTCCAAATTTTTGATTGAATCGCGGCTTTGTTGAGTTCTCTCCTTTGTCTATCTGTTCATTGGTTCTTAATGAAGACTTTAAACTATTTTTTGACAGCTTCCTACACGTGATTAATTAAAATTTGGAGGAATGCACAATTCAACAACCTCGTTCTTCGGATGTTGGGAGAGAACTCACCTTTCAATTACAAAACAAACTTTTGACCCACATAGCTAAATATGAAAGAAATGAGGAAGTAATTTAAGCATAGGAAAACAAATTATTTTCACCAAAAAAAATGAATTATAATTTATTTAAAATAAATATGAATGAAAATCTTTAACAACTGATGCAAGATATCAAAACCCAAAGGATAAAAAAAAAATCTCTCTCACAGAAAAGTTGTACACAGAAGATTACAATCGATCAAATTAAAACATAGTTAGTGAAAAATAAAATATAATAAATTTAAAAGAAAAAGTTGATAATTATTATTCTAAAAGAAGAACAAAAGAAGTAAATTGTAAATTATTATGATTTCCGTACACATATATATATATATACATATATAAATATAAATAAAACGATTGAATGCCTTTCCTTGCCAATTTTTCAATTTTTCAAAAAACAAGGTTTAAGCCCGTCATCAAATAAGATAACAACATGAAAGATGAAAAATTATATTAAAATAAAAAAAGAAAAACTTTACAAAAAAATACTCAATGATGAGGAAGTAGTGTACTAGTTATGTAAGTTTATGACCGATTGTGAATCTATCCATTTTTTTCTCTTCTCCAATGGCATTTTTGTTCACAGTCGCTTAAGACAAAAATGATATAAAAAAAATTGTAAATGTCGAAAAATGATTTAAAACAAAGAAATGAAAAATCGGAATAAAAAAACAATTTTTTTCGAAAAGCTTCACATTTAAAAAATAATAATAGTTGACTTTTATTCAGGTTTTTACCAGGGGTTGACACGATTTCATCTGTTCATCTTTTTTCATCTTTCAATACAAAAAATTCATCAATTTTCATCTTTTTCATCTTTAAGAATTTCACGTTTTATTTGGTTTGTGAAGTATATAATTTCATACAAATTACCTTAAAAAATTATTTTTTACAAAAATATTTATGAAAATTTATTTTTCACATCACAACTAAGAAAATCTAGTCGAAAAATGACTTTTCCAAGGGTTTTTTCATCTCATGTAAGGAAATCGAGACGAAAAATGACTTTTCCAACGGTTTTTTCATCTCATCTAAGAAAATCTAGTCGAAAATGAATTTTCCAAGGGTTTTTTCATCTCAACTAAGAAAATCTAGTCGAAAAATGACTTTTCAATGGTTTTTTCATCTCATCTAAGAAAATCTAGTCGAAAATGAATTTTCCAAGGGTTTTTTCATCTCATCTAAGAAAATCTAGTCGAAAATGAATTTTCCAAGGGTTTTTTCATCTCAACTAAGAAAATCTAGTCGAAAAATGACTTTTTCGAGGGGTTTTTCATCTCATCTAAGAAAATCTAGTCGAAAAATGACTTTTCAATGGTTTTTTCATCTCATGTAAGGAAATCGAGACGAAAAATGACTTTTCCAAGGGTTTTTTCATCTCATCTAAGAAAATCTAGTCAAAAATGAATTTTCCAAGGGTTTTTTCATCTCAACTAAGAAAATCTAGTCAAAAAATGACTTTTCCAAGGGTTTTTTCATCTCATTTAAGAAAATCTAGTCAAAAAATGAATTTTCCACGGGTTTTTTCATCTCATCTAAGAAAATCTAGTCGAAAAATGACTTTTCCAATGGTTTTTTCCTCTCATGTAAGGAAATCGAGACGAAAAATGACTTTTCCAAGGGTTTTTTCATCTCATCTAAGGAAATCTAGTCGAAAAATGACTTTTCCGAAAGATTTTTCACCTCAAATAAGAAAAATTTGCTTTTTTGAGGTATTTTTCCTACAAACCGAGCTCACCCGAAAATTTCATCTTTTTTTCATCTTTCCATACAAAAAATTCATCTTTTTTCATCTTTCTTCATCATTTTTCATCAATTCATACAAAAATTTCATCTTAACAATAGAATGAAGAAATTTTTCATCAAGATGAAATCGTGTCAACCCCTGGGGTTTTTATGACTTTAGTAAGCTTTCATTCATTTTATAATTTTTAACTGTCATAAATTTTTAAATTTTGTTGTAGACCTAAAACCTTCAGATTTTTAAATCCATTTCCCAAGACCTAGAGCAACATGTATTCAATTTTATAAAATCAGCGGACACATAAGTGCATCATGAATCATATCCTTTTAATTTAATATTTTGAAATGCTTTGATTTTTGTGATAGAATAACGGTGTTTTAGAATTCAAATTTCTTAACAATTTGGTAGACATAAATTCAAGTAATAACAAACCGTTAGTTTAACTTGTCAACTATAGCACTTAATCAACTCTAATTAATTCCAGTTGCATAAAAGCTTAAAACAAGCTTGTCTAGTTATTTTCAGGTAATTTAATACATGTTAAGCATCAGTAAATAGCAAATAAGTTCTCAGTGTGATAGCTGATTATTCCTAAACGACGTGAAGTTAGCTCCTCACATATTGCATTGTTGATCCTCTGAATTTCACAAAATAATTAATTTTCTCAAAATTTAACAATTAGTGTGTCAAAATGGTGTTAGAAAGTACTATGATTTGGTAAGTCTCATCAAGTAACACTGGATAAAAGTGGATCAAACCGTGATTTTAGTGAATTTGACATGAAAATAGCGAAATTTTAGACAGTGATTCAGCAATTCTCAATAACCAAAATATTAAATTTCTTTATTCTCATTAGTTTGGATAACAGCGATTATCAACGCAATGGTGATTACCTTCCAACGCGATTAAATGCACAAAAAGAAGGAATTCACTTAGTTTGTAACACAAAATTGCGATCAAATCCAGAAAATAATGTTGGTCTCTTGACAATGGCTAAGTAAGTACTAAATTCTGATTCCTCAAACTCAATGTTTGATTAGTCTATCATATTTTGCAGCACTGTAGAGGTATTAGTTACTTTAACTGGTGATGTTGGAAGAATTATGTCAAAAATGCATCTTGTTCAGCCAAACGGAAACATTAATTTGGTTACAGGCATTAGAATTGCCCATGTAAGTGTTGTGCTTATGATAAACAGTCAAATTTACTCATTTATATTATTATTGTAGCTTGTTCTTAAACATCGTCAAGGAAAGAATCATAAAATGCGCATAGTATTGTTCATCGGATCGCCATTGGAAGTAGATAAAGTTGAGGTCGAGAAATTAGCCAAGAGATTAAAGAAAGAAAAAGTGAATGTCGATATAATAAGTTATGGAGATCATCAGAAGAATAATGATGTTTTAACAGCATTCATTAATACATTAAATGGCAAAGAAGGAACTGGAAGTCATTTAGTAAGCGTTCCTCGAGGTTCCCAATTACAAGAAGCTCTAGTTTCATCACCAATTATTCAAGGCGAAGATGGATTGGGAGGTGCAGGAATTGGCGGTGCTGGTTTTGAATTTGGCGTTGATCCTAATGAAGATCCAGAATTAGCACTCGCATTACGAGTTTCAATGGAAGAACAACGTCAAAGACAAGAAGAGGAACAAAGACGTGCTCAGGCTGCTTCTGCACAAGAAACTGCAGACACAAGTGCACCAGTAATCTCATCTGCTGCACCAACATCTGATGAAGCTATGCTTGAACGTGCTCTGGCTCTCTCAACAGAGACTCCGGTAAAACGTCATCGAGTTCGTTTCTATTTGTTTTTGGGTTTCCATCATCATATGATGTTTTATTATTTGTCATTTTTAAAAAAATTGTATTCTGTATCTTTCAATGATTTTAAGGATGATTATTAATTAGAATAATTTTTCTTGTTCGTCTACAGAGCGATGAGGTTATGCCTGACTTTGCGAATATGACTGAAGAGGAGCAAATCGCTTTTGCAATGCAAATGTCTATGCAGGATGCTCGTAAGTTAATTACACTGCACTTTAATCTGAAAAATATTCGTCTGAACAAAACCAAATTTGAATTTCTCAAAAACCGCTAAAATTTAATTTAAAACTGCATTTTATACGAAATTATTGAACTGAACTAGCACAAAAAATTTGAAATTTATAAATACGTTATAATTTGATCAAGAATTTCATAGAAAAAAAAACTTACTTATTATTGCTATTACTATTATTACAGAAGAACCAATTACTCAACAAGCTAAGCGTCCCAAGAAAGACGACACGCCAATGGATGTAGACGAGGACTATAATGAAGTAATTACTGATCCAGAATTTCTGCAGAGCGTCTTAGAAAATTTGCCTGGCGTAGATCCACAATCAGAAACAATTCGAGGCGTTGTTGACTCATTGAATAAGGATAAAAAGTCTGATAAAGATAAGGACGGAAAGGGTGGCAGTGGATCGAAATAAAACTCCTAAAAAATTTATATATTTCATTAGAAAATATTGAAGATTGATTCAGTGTGCACTAATATCCATCAATTTCTAAATAATTAATAATATTTTGCATTCTTATTTGTATATGTTAAACTTGATGCAAGTGAAAAAGATAAATTTTGATTCAAGAAAGCAGTCAGGATGAAGAATTAAAGAAATAATAAATAAAAGGATCATGAGAAAAAAAGTTTATTCAGTCAAAAAGCTTTATGGCTACCTAAGTTCAATAATTCTTACAGTCAAAACATAAACACAACTCTCAGAGAGAGTCAACAGAAAGATATGCGGACGGAGAGAAGATCAGAAGAGAAATATTAATAATTATTTTAAAAACTTATTTCAGTTACAATCAGGCGATCAAAGTGTAAAGTTCTCATCCTCCAAAACTCTCATTTTCAAAAAAATGAATCGTTTTATCACAAAATTGCCCATTCGTGCGGTAAGTTGCAACCTCAAGTGCATTTTATGCTGATTAAATTTAATTATATTATTTTTTAAATAGATGGCAAACTCGCTCAAAGGCCAGGCAAGACTTATGAGTGGATCTGCTGGAATTAAGCCATTGACAGTCCTTACAGATGATGAACTTGCTATGCAAGAAACAGGTAAGTCACATGTAATAAGGAATTATCAAATTATGTAACCTTACTTGTGCCCCTTACTGATATGATAAAGACTTGGATTGATAAAAGAAAAAAAAATAATATTTTGGATGTTCGCAAAACTTACGATATAAATAGATGGAAAGAACATCATAAAGTGGCTTTACGTAGCAGCCACGTCAAAAAATAAGTTTTTTATACAAAAACGTTTGCTTTTCCACCTTAAATGAATATAAAAAAATGTGCTACGTCTGTTTGATAATCGAGTGCTGTAGAGAGACTTCATATTTCAAAGCATAATCACGTCGCATTGACATTAAAAAAAATTCTTATTTGCGACTCTTTTTGAGCAAATCTTTTTAATACTCCTTTTGAATTAAATAATTTTAAAAATGTCTGTGTGCTTTCGGAATTGATTGTGTTGGACGAAGAAAAACATACAGAAGATGTGAGACTGATAAAACAGCACACAAACAAGTCTGCAATAAAATTATTCGAAACGAGCCCCAAAAAAATCTGAACGAGTGAATTTTTATTGATCGAGAAACGATGAATGGAAAATAATTAATGCAGTTGATTCTCATTTGCATTAATTAGCTGGTTGAATGACTTTTAATTTAATAGCTTGCATTTGTTTTTGCTTATTGCAATTTAACGGCTTTAAAAGATTCAAAATTTAACGGTTTTCAAAAATTCAAAATTCATGCAAAATTCAAAATATGGCGGTTGAAAAATCATAATTTCATAAAAATGCATTCAAATTAAGTCATACAATTGCATGATTCTACATTCTTTCATTATCATTGACCAAAGTCCACAAGATATGAGTCAAGTGAAAGCTTCAAAAACAATGTCTAATAATAGATTAATAACAAATACTTCCCAATCAACTTCAATTAACACTAATTATGCTTTCTTATTTACTTTTTCGACAGTCAGAAAATTCGCACAAGAACAAATCAAGCCATTAGTTTCAAAAATGGACGAAGAAAATTTAATGGATAAGGACTTGGTAAAGAAACTTTTTGAAAATGGATTCATGGGTGTTGAAGCTGATCCTGAATATGGTGGTAGTGGCTGCAATTTTCTCACAATGATGCTTATTGTTGAAGAACTTAGTAGAGTTGATCCAGCTGTCGCTGCTTTGGTTGATATTCACAGTACTTTAGTTGTTAATCTCTTGAATGATTTGGGAACAAAAGCACAAAAAGAAAAATATCTTACTAAAGTCTGTACTGAGTCTCCAGCATCATTTGCTCTTTCAGAACCAAGTTCTGGCAGTGATGCCTTTGCACTTAAGACTACAGCCAAGAAAGATGGCAATCATTATGTTCTTAATGGAACCAAAATGTGGATTAGTAATTCAGATATGTCTGAAACTTTCATCATTATGGCTAATGCTGATCCATCAAAGGGATACAAAGGTATTACAGCATTCATTGTTGAAAGAGACATGGAAGGTTTTACAGTTGGAAAGAAGGAAAGAAAATTGGGAATTTGTGCTAGTGGAACTTGCATGCTTCACTTAGACAACGTTCGTGTCCCAGAAGAAAATATTTTGGGTGAATTTGGCAAGGGTTATGCTTACTCAGCTTCAATCTTAAACGAAGGAAGAATTGGAATTGCCGCTCAAATGGTTGGATGTGCTCAGGGTGCATTTGATGCTACAATGCCTTATTTATTAGAAAGAAAGCAATTCGGAAAGGAAATTTACAGTTTCCAAGGCATGCAATATCAAGTTGCTGAAGTTGCAACTGAAATTGAAGCCGCTAGACTTATGTACTACAATGCTGCCCGTATGAAGGAAAATGGTATGCCATTCACAAAGGAAGCAGCTATGTGTAAATATTTCGCATCAGAAGTAGCACAAAAAGCAACAATTAGATGCGTAGACTGGATGGGAGGTGTTGGATTCACAAAAGACTTCCCACAAGAGAAATTCTATCGTGATTGTAAGATCGGTGCAATTTATGAAGGAACATCTAACATGCAATTGAGTACAATCGCTAAACTCCTCAGAAAAGATTATGAAAGTTAAGCAATTTTTTTCCGAACCACAAAAAAGAGAGTTCAAATTTAAAGTGCATTTAAATTAGTGTACTATTGTGCATATAATTCAGTTTTAATCTTATTAAGTCTGTATCAGGCTTGTGCCTTGAAAAATAAATATATTTTTATTTCCTTGAAAAAAATTGTTTTTTTTATAATTTTGTGAAGTCAATAGAACTTTTATGGTCAACAGCTTGTAGACACTTCATTTCTAATGACTACGATAACAACCTAGGAGAGGTTGTTATGAATAGTAGAAGAAAAGTGGAATATAAATATGAAAATAATTTGCTGATAACGTAACAAGTCATTGGAACTGAAGGTGTCGGCATCAGGGGCGTAGCCAGAAAATTTTTAAGGTGAGGGGGGGGGGGGGGAGAGGGGCATTTTCGAAAATTAAAAAACCGTTATTTTGTATCCTTAAATCTATATTCATTCTTCATAAGTTTAAATATTTAATTCATTATTCATACATTAAATTTAATTTTTCGTGCTGATTTTGACATTTCTTTCATCACTTCCTCTACATTAACTGGTTCTTCTCTATAAATAAACAATAATAATAATAATAATAATAAATACTTAATAAAACAATTATCAGATTTTCGTAGGGGGGGCCCGGGCCCAAGCTCCCTATGCCCCCCCCCCCTAGGCTACGCCCCTTGTCGGCATTATTTCATATGCAAGTGTATAGCTAGCTACAAATAATTGCAAATATTAACTTTTTGAGAACGAGACTCCTAAAATCTGATTCACAATCAAATTTTGTGAACATATTGAATAACATTCCCTATCAATGACTTGCTTGTGGAATTAAATGATAAGGAAAAAATGCACGCTTTTATTACTAGAGTTTGGTTTGAAAAACTTGAGATTTGAGTCATAAACCTTTTTAAGTAAACAGACCATAATCCATAAAGTAAGATCGTCTGTCAACTCATTGAACTATTATTAGCTTCGAATGCACAGATAAATCTATTTTAAACAATTAAACGCCAATTAAAGGAGATCAAGATTGAGTTGAAACATGTTAATAGTATAAGATTGATCAGAAATGAGCTTAATTTTGATTTAATAAATCTTCCATACGTCAAGTTATTGTACAGTTGAATTTAGTCTTTTACAGTAAAGCTTTGAGTGAAGAATCATTATTAAAATGAAGTTTTTAACTCTACTTCATCTTTTTGGTGAATTTCACTTGATATTTTCCAAAATTCGCCTGGATGTTGTGAATACAAAAATAACTTAACCTAAATCTGACATTCAAGCTATTGGGCGAGTTTTCCAGCACATCATTGATGTTTTCTGGTTGCAGGAAAAGACTCCATTGGATATAATCATTTTTGAGCCTTTTACAGAAGATCAATCAGAGATTTTAGATATTGTTCTTGCCAAACTTAATGAAATATTGTCGTACAAGCTTTTGAACTTTTTTGATTTTAATCTGAAATATATTTTAAGACAACCAACAATATTTACGATTTCAGATGAATATTATCTTTATGAAATTTTCCTTCGTTTTGAAATAATTCGGTACCAAAACCAGGCATTCAAATATTTTATTTATATTGCAAAAACAACATTTGAAATTGTTGAAAACTATCCGCCCATAACTATTCATGAATCATTTACAATGACATTAGGATCAATACTTTATCATTCATATTTCATCATCAATGAATCAGACATGATTAGCATATCGACATTGGAATATTTTGTCGAAAAATGTAACAAGTTAAAAATGACAAGAATTTACTCATTTGATAAGATTTCGATGACTTGGATTGGAAGTGTAAAGCCATATGAAAAATTTCTAGAGTATAATGGATGTGAACTGAAATTGATGCTTCCATTAACATACCAAGTTGATCTGTTTGCTTATCACTGGGGATATGCAGATATTAATGAAAACATGACTAGTGGGTTTACTGTTCATGGCATTACACCATTGATATTCAAAATAGCAGGACAAAAATATAACTTTAAGGATTCATATGTTCCTGTAATGGTGTATGAAAAGGATTGGATAGTAAAATATAACCTAAAAACAGTTTTAGCTGCTCGAATTAACAATGGAATCAACAACGATCCAAATGTATATTTTGACATTACTGGAGTTCAACAAAGTTCCTATAAACTTAGAACATCAAATGTATTCGATGACATAAAGTATAACCTCATTGTGACTCCTGGATTTCCATATTCACCATACGAGAAGCTTTTCCTTCCATTTGATCTCACTACATGGATTCTATTAGCAACAACATTTGGAATAACATTCATTACAATTTTTATCATCAATCGTTTGCCTATAAAAACCAGAAATTTTGTCTATGGCAGAAAAATTTACACTCCAACACTAAATGTCGTCAGTATATTCTTTGGAATCGCACAAGCCCGACTACCAACTGAAAACTTCTCAAGGTTCATATTGATTTTATTTGTCATTTTCTGTCTGATTTTTCGAACTTGTTTTCAAAGTAAATCGTTTGAGTTCTTAACGAGTGAACCACGACGTCCTCCACCAACAACATTGAAGGATCTTAAAGCACAAAACTACACAGTTTACACGTTATATAAACATATATTGGAAAAGTATATTCAAAATGAAAGGACTAATTGGTAAGGATTTATTTATAATTTATCCTAAAATTGAGGATACTTAAAAGATGGTTCATCCATTAGAGTTGGTTGGAAGATGGATCAGATAGTAAAATCATGTTTAATTATTTCCTTACTAGGCCACAGATTGTCGAACCTAAAGTCAGCGAATACTTAAGATACTACAGAACTCAATCCCGAAATTCTTCAGCTAAGATGTGCCTTATAATTGAAGATATGCTTCGAAGTGATGTAGATGCAACCGCAAATCCTAAATGGAATGATTTGGAAGTAGAAAACATTTACGTTTCTCATCAAGCCTTCTTTTTCCAACAAAAGTCATTTTATTTTCGAATGATGCTTAAAACTATCAATAGTCTAATTGATACTGGAATCATGAAGTACTTGATGGGTAATTATCTTCGAAGGAGGAAGTTTGTAAACATTCCAGAGAAGAACAAAGTTTTAGGACTTGATCATCTCTCGTTTGGATTCAATATATGGTTGGGATGTTGTTGTATTTCTTCTGTAGTACTTTTTATGGAACTGATAATTAAACCAAAAAGTCGTAAAGTTCCAATAACTTTCAAGTTTGCGAAAGTTCATCCCTACAATGCAAATAACTCAAATCAAGACTTAAAAGTCTAGAAACTCCCAAAAGAAAGGTTTCGAAAATTCAAGATCACCAATAATGTCAATCCAATTGAAGAAAATTCAGTCAATACAGCAATACAATCGATTGGACCAACAGAAATAGTCGAAAAATCGATTGTAAGGTTTGACAACAAGTAAAGCTACGCAAATTTATTAAAAAGCGTGAAATAATTTTGTCAGCTGATAAAATGAGGCATCAAGTAATACGTAAATCAGTGAAGCAGAAAATAGAATGAATGTAGCAAAACAATGACTTTGTTCTATCCTCAAAGTTAACATTAATTTTCAGATAATTGCTGGGGATTATATAACAAGTCATTTAAAGTACAAAACAAGTATACAGGCATAACACGCAAAGTCACATTTTTAATATTCAAAACAGATCTCAAAAACAAGAATGAAAGAGATTCTCAGAACCGGTAATAAGGCATTACAACAACATCAACAAGTACAGAAAATAAGAATGAGACACAATTTATATAATTTCAGCACAAGTATCTGCTTTTAGTTTACATAAAAAAAATACAAGCAAAAGTATACAAAATGTTGATAAGAGTTGTGTTGTTGATAAGAAGGAATTGTTTGCATGTGGGAACCACTATGAGCCACACAGATGCTATCAATGTTAAGTTGATAGGAACAAAAAAAATAGTTTTTAAGCATTTGAATATTTAAACTTTTGAAATAGACCTAATTACAGTACGTAAAGTAATTCCTTGCAATTACAATAAATAAAGTAGTTTAAAGAACTTAAAACTTTGTTGATAGTAGATTCAAAAAAGAAACATTTATGCATGGAATTAAGATGAATTTTAGGTAGAATAAAATTTTGACTTTTAAAATCAAAGCAATAAAATAATAAAGTTAAATAAGTATAGATTTTAATAGCTTGTGATTATTTATTGTTGAGCTAGAATAATTAAAGTAAGTAGAATCTGGCTGTAAATAATTCATTCAATCATAAATCGATAAGTTTCTACCTGCTTTAATAATGACATTTTAAGGACATGAAAATTATAGTGTCAACTTACTTTCTTGTACCTAATTAATAATTTAGACAGTATATTCAGCAGATTCTTACAAGATTAACCTCCTTTGAGTTAAAGCTCGATCTATGATTAGTACTGGTTCCTTACATCTTGTCCAGATCTCTTAAGCCTATATGACTAATTATCATGGCTTGACATTATTCAAAATCAACAGATGATATAAGGGGCCGTTCACTTATGACGTCCAAGGGGGGGGGGGGGGGGGGGGGGGTTAGCAAGAAAAGAACAATAGAAATTCCTGGAAATCCATTGTTCTTTTATAAAAAATGACCGTTAAATTCGGACGTCATAAGTGAACGACCCCTAAAGTGCGTAATATCAAAATATCTAAAATAGCAGAATCAAGCACAAGCCGGCTAGTGTGTAAAAATGCGTATGTGAGCACCAAACAGAATAAAAGAGAACAACCTTGAATTTGCAGAAGAGAATTGAGCGATACTCTCTTCCTTTATCAAAGCTGTTTTAAAAACAAAAAAAACTTTGTCGATTCTCTTATGTACACAAACAGTTGCGATCGCTAGTTCCAACTGTTCATTCATATATTTTTTTTATCAAATTTTTCTATTTTTAATTTTCAAATCTTTTCCAAAGTACAACTTGTTGCATTTATTAGATTTTTAAGGATGTTGGGGTTAAAGCATTTAAGTGCCATTAGACATGTGAGATGAAAGGAATTGATAAATATGATTGCATAACTTATGACTTTATCCTTATCTTTTCCTTGCTTGAAAGATCACAAAAATTTTGACGACAAGGAGTTACTCGGCAGTTCCTCCATTGACCAAACTGACTGACGATGAGTTATTGATGAAAGAAGCATGTAAGTTGACTTTTCAACTTCCTGTACACACTAATTAGTTTAAACTAATGGATATTCTTTTGTTATCATAATCATTACTTATGCATGCGCTAGTTGCCAAATTTGCTCAAGAAAAGATTGCGCCAAAAGTACGTCAAATGGAAGAGACGAAGACACAAGATCCAGAAATAATTAAAGGACTTTTTGAGAATGGATTTATGGGAATTGAAATTGATGAGGAATATGGAGGAACTGGATCGAATTTTATGACGACTATTTTGGCTGTTGAAGAGCTATCCAAGGTTGATTCGAATATCTCTATTTTAGTGGACATCCACAACTCGCTAACCAATCCATTAATAAAAAGACTTGGAACTGCTGAACAGAAGCAGAAGTATCTTCCAAAATTAGCAACTGAATCGGTAAATTTACTTGTCTTTCTAGTCTGTAAATGATTTCTAATGCCCAATTTTTAAGGTATCAAGCTTCGCATTATCAGAGGCAGGTTCAGGATCTGATGCTTTTGCCATGAAAACAACAGCCAAGAAAGAAGGATCAAATTACATCCTTAATGGAACGAAAATGTGGATCAGTAATTCAGATATTGCAGACATTTTCATACTCATGGCTAATGCTGATCCATCAAAAGGACATAGAGGAATTACAACATTTATTCTTGAAAAAGGAATGGAAGGACTGTCAATTGGCAAGAAGGAAAACAAATTAGGTCTTGTTGCCAGTGGAACGTGCATGGTTCATTTAGATAACGTTAAAGTACCAGAAGAGAATGTTTTAGGTGAAGTCGGCAAAGGATATCAATATGCTGCTGGATTTTTGAATGAAGGAAGAATTGGAATCGGTGCCCAAATGGTTGGATTATCACAAGGCTGTTTCGATGCAACAATTCCTTATTTATTAGAAAGAAAGCAATTTGGAAAGGAAATTTACAGTTTTCAAGGTCTTCAATATCAAGTCGCAGAAATAGCAACGCTGATTGAAGCAGCAAGATTAATGGTTTACAACGCAGCACGTCTACAAGAAAATGGACTTCCATTTTTAAAGGAGGCAGCTATGTGTAAATTATTTACTTCACAGGTTGCTCAAAAAGTCACAATAGCTTGCATTGACTGGATGGGCGGTGTTGGATTTACAAAAGATTTTCCACACGAAAAATTCTACCGTGATGTTAAAGCTGGAACAATTTATGAAGGCACGTCAAATATTCAAATGACGACAATCGCAAAACTTATAGGAAGACAATATGCTTCATAACAGTTTTATTTATTGATTCTGGTTGCTAAAAATTTTCTGTATCATATTCCATGAAATAAAATGTTCATTTTGGATCGTGAGGTAATTTAAAACCTACCATTGCTGCTGTATCCTCAACACTTCTTTCTCCAGCACCTTTATATTCATCATTTATGCGCTGATATATTCTTGATGACTGTAAGTAGCACAAATAAGTATTGCCCAAAAATAGCATCTCATCCTTCTCCTTGCAAAGCTGTTCATCAGTTATACGATATTTCTTGAACTGCGAGACTACATACTTTGCTGCTAATGAATTTTTGATGCACTTGTTTGGCGATGCTAGTCGCAATTCATTTAAAATTCCTCTCAAGACTTTAGTTCCAGACATTATGCTTTCACAAGTTCTAGATCCTCTAATGAATAGTTCGGTTTAGGCTGGTCGGTCCAAAAATTTGATGACTGATCAGGCAAAGTTTTCGATGGGAACGAATGAATTGAAAAGTCGTTAAAAATGTCACTAAACTTGAAGGTGTTTGATATCTCTAATTCCTTTGTGAAGCTACTTATTTCAAGCAAGAAATGTGCGTTGGGTCTTAAGAATCTCTCTGGTGTTGCCTCTTTAATAGATTTAAAGCTATTGCAAATGAGAATTAGATTTTTCAACTCTTCAAAATTCCAATTTGAGTACAGCAAGTTATTTGTAATTTGCTTGGGACAATGGGGAAGATAGAATATTGTCGGATGCTCTACTCTATATTTCCCTTCTTTATTTTCTAAAAGTACTTCAAATTTAAAGGAATCAAGGAGTAATTTGTCGTTTTGATCAAAAACTGGATCATAAAATTTTATGCTTTCAATTTGGAATTTTTCTTTAATTATCGCTATTAATTCTAACTGATGTCTTGCAATTATATCTTCACTAATTTTTCCAATACCCAAACAAATTATTTCCTTCACAGATTGCTGATTAATCACCTCTTCCAGTTGAATTAATGCCTTCGCACAGAAATCTGATGTTTGTAAATCAAATTTTATGTTTTCTAGTTGCCTATAAATAAGTCTTTATTAATTATTGATTTTAATTGATTTACAGCATTATAACTTACTTAATTGCCTTGTCTAGATTGAAATCGTCACTTGATTGTTGCACAATGTTAATATTTTTAAATTTCCTTGATTTCTTGTTTGATCTTTTTGATTTCGTAACCAAAATAAAACCATCAGACATTTGATTTAATTCATTCTTGACATAGATGTCAACTGTGCTAGTTCCTTGATATGTTCCAACGCAAAGACACTGATTTGGATAGACAGATATCGAGTAATTAATTAAAATAACTATTGTAAACAATCAATGCTCGAGCATGCGACTAATTGCATGCCGTTGAATTTGAATTCTTAAAAACCGTTATTTTTTGAAGCATGCTCTTAAATTCTCTCGATTTCTCTCTTTTTACCTGCGATTTTGAATGAGCATAATTTGCGTATAAATTGACAGTCTGGGTGCTTCCATTTGACTTTTATTTTAATTGTATGACCCAAATACAAGTACAATAAATGTTGATAAGGTAAAACTTATTGTTAAGTGCTGTAAAATTGGAATTTCTGGATGTTAAAATTTTGCCATGCGTCTCAAGTAGACTTTAAACAAAATCACTGCCTCACTTGTTCTCTCACGATTCTACATGATCTTTCCGCTCACTTTTATTCACTACTTTGGACAATGATCGCATCCATAAGCTGTGCTCAGTTTCTCTTTGCACGTTGAATAAGTTACATGTTTAATAATTTTTTCGGAACGAACACACAAAAAAAAGAATCATAATATTAAGTGAAAATAATTAATAACAGATATTTGGAGTGTCAAAAAAATATAAAAAAAATTCGAAAGTGTATTTATGTTAAATGATAATTATATGTTATTGATATTTGAATGCAAAAAATCAGCATCAATTGGAATACAATAAAAGAAATTATTAATAAAATTAAATTTTATGATCCAATTCGCAAAAACATATGCAGGCATAATAATTGAATTTCTTTGAAGAAATTTCCTCAACTTAGTGAATGAGTGTTGTTTAATAATAAATTTTTTTTATTATATTACTCATCGTAATTGGAATTAATCACGTTTTAAGCAGTCACAAATTGGGATTAATTTTTTCGCGACTCCAAAAGAAATTTAAAAACTTTTTAAAATACAAGGAAAGAAGAACGACTAGATTTTTGTCTGGTGAGTTGTTAAGATGATAAAATAAAGAAGGAAAGACATAAAAAAATCTTGATTCTCGTTGTGGGTCATTCATTGATGATGTCTTTTAGAATATGGGATTTTCGTACTTCCCTCTCTCTCCCATACAAATACTTATTTATTTTTAAAGCATATAAAATTCTTCCTCCACCTCAAAATGATGGACGTCATAAAAGAAGCATCCCAAAGTTTAACGTATCTTTTCGCAAAAGAACCTCTCCAAAAAAATATGTGAATGAATTGGATGATTTAATCAAGTCTTTTAAGCCTTAACAAACACAGATTAATTGCGAATTTCATTTATTCTCTCTCACTTCTTTTTGTGTGTACCTTGAATTGCTATGAACAAAAAGTTCAATGCTGCAAAAGAAATGACAAAAGAATGGAGAAAAGATCATGTTACTGATACATATATAGGCAGGAAATATGCTGTTTCTAACCTTTGGAACATGATTTTTAATCTTCCTATATGAAAAAAAATGTCACTAAAGTCTTAAAGTACATTTCTTCAGCATTTATCTGTCTATCCGGATTTGACATCTTCGTGCCCTTTTGATCCTCAATTGTTTACAGTATTTTGATGTTTAAATACTGCATTTTAACAATAACATTGCGAGAACTCTTTCAACTTATAAGTCATCTATCTTTTCCTTCATGTTATGTGTGCAGCAGACGAGAGAAGAATTCATTATGCTTCCCTAAAGTTCAACTCATTGATTTGATTTAATGTAACTGGCAATGCTTTCTGTTTTTGTGCAATTGGAAAAGAATAGGATGGGAGGAGTTCAGAAGTATGGAATTGTGTGGGTTTTATGCGCATTTCTGACTGGATTCTTATGGGGTCGTTCACTTATTACGTTATGCAAAAAACGAACTTTTTTTCACCCCCCCCCCTCCCCCCTTGTTACAATTTGTTACAACTCACAACCCCCCCCCCCCCCCCCTGAACGTTCATAATTTATTTTATCATTAAAAAAATGTTTTCGGTGTGAATTTTCGTGAACTTTTTTTTAAAAGACAGACGACAGTTGGAACGTTACATACTTCTTGACACCCCCCCCCCCCTATGTTACATTTGGTTACAATTTTTCAAACCCCCCCTCCCCCCTAAAATGCGAACGTAATAAGTGAACGGCCCCTATGCCAAAATATGAATAATATATGGTTTGAATGAATCATAGACTTGAAGTCAATTGAGAATTTTAAGATCCAGAGGAACTGAAGCCAAAGTTGAGGATCTGTAAAATTAATTGTCTTATGAGGCTCCAAAAAAATCGTGAATTTCAACTTTTAATCCTTAGACAAGCCCAGATTATTTCCAGACAATGATCCAGTCAATAATACATCTGTCCTATTGTTCTCAACGGAATTTCTCACACATCCGTGATCAAAGAGGCTTGCGCTTCACAAAAAAAAGCTTAATTTACAGTTCTTTACCGAAATTTCCTGTTGAAAAAGTAAATAAATTTATTGACCTTTCAGCAATAAAGAGTCATCAAGACAAAATGATCTCATAAGTCTCATATTAACCTGTACAAGACAGTTGTGGAGAAAAACGAAAGGATAAACCGGTTTTCAATGCTCATTAGGGCAAGTGATTCAATTTGCATTATGTCCTTGAAATGAATAAACATTTTCCTTTATTTCGTGTCTATGAACATGCATTTTAACAGGAACTGCATGTTAATTGCTCGAACGTGACCATTCGGGTAATGGAAGTCGATAAAATGATATTGCAATAACAACAATCACCCTAAAATTATAATATTATGAAAAGAACTTTCTTTAGCACACAACGGTATCAGACACAAAATTATGTTGCTATACATTCTCATTTTCCTTTCGATTTTTACCGTTCGTTTTGTAAATGAGTCGTTGCTTATCAATTAAATGTTTGATTGACTAACTTGCAGTTTAAAAATTCTGTTCTCGAATTCTATTTTCTCTAAACTGGATGTAATAAAGCAGTAAGAAAAAAAAATGGAAATCAGCACAATAATCCAGTATTTTTTCTTTCTCTTTCGATCATGACATACAATTGAAAATGCAAAGCAATAAGAACAAAACAGATGATGTGCTTGATGCTGAGAAGAATGGGAGGGAATCATGCATATATTGAGGCTTATAACTGTTTACTCGTAACACCGATTTTTCCTTATTTTCAATTCCAATTGTCAGCAAATGAGAAATGTAAATAAATTTCACTTGTGAATCGATTTTCTTCGAATTGTGGCAGTGATATGAAGTCGTCATCCACGATACTAAAAAAATCAAATATTTCAATTTCCCTTCCTTTATTTGACAACACGAAATGTAAATAGATACAAATAACTTTTGTGTAAATGACTGCAGTGAATAAACCGAACAGTCATAATGATGCATTCAGATTTCATAATTCCGCTCACTTTATTAATATTTTTGAGCATCACGTGGAGTGTTTTCATTTCATTTCTTCTTCCACGACTTGCATCGATTTTTAATGATGGACCATTAAGGGTCTCTACAACAAATTTCTATTTTTCTATTTCAATTCCATTACTTTTTATTATGTTCATGCTTTTTAATGATCCAGAAACATTGTAAATGTTTTCATTTTCAACAAATTCCTTCCTTAAACATAACACATTAAAATTCCACAAGATTCATTGTTGTGTGCATTGATCTTGAATGGATTGGCTTTGTTTACTTGTTGAGGGATTTATTCTGAATGGTTTTAATGAAATTTACTCCGATTTACCAAAGTTTTTGAAGATTCAGCATGAGAACATCGTTTATGTGCATTACTATGATCTTCCGAGGGATTCAAAGACTCAAAATATCATGGAATCGATTACAATTCTTTGCTGTTTACATAAATTTGTTGATTTCTTCTGAACAGAACTTACGGCCTGTTTCACTAAAGTGGATTATCTTCGATTTCGGATTATTCTCTTCAGTTTTTTGCAAATATCTTAAACTTTATGGGAGGTGTGGTATTTCTAATTTTGGATTATAATAGAGTGAACTATGCCTGAAATTCCTGTACACTTTAAACTTTTGCTTTTCGTTAAGAAGTTTTAATTATTCAATTTTCTAGCCAAATCTAGTAGATTAACTTCAATTTTTGCTATAATTCTCAAACCAATGAAGATATAAAAATTCTAAGTATATGTTAATTTCAGTAGCAGAGTACTCTAACTAGATCACACATTAGATATCTTAAAAATCTTAAGTGTCTGGAGATATTTCCAAACAACTGAAGTAGATAATCCAAAATCGAGGATAATCCACTTTAGTGAAACAGACCGAATATGCTTTATTTATGAATGTGGCTCAAAATCCACCTTGATATTGTTTAGCTTTGTCCCGGATATTCACTGCCGTGTTAATTCCCACCTGTACTTTACAGGTTTTAGAGAAGGATATTTGCTTTCCATTCCACACATTCCTGAGAGACACATACAAGCAATCACAAAATATGATACTGATGTGCAGCTTGAGTGTAATATAGATAGTTCATTGCCTAAGATTGACTGCCTAAATGTGCCTTTAATTTGCCTCTCCATCACATCCAATTGGAAATTAATCACTGAATTAGAAATGTTAATTAACAAAACATCCACAAAAAATGCAAACTCTTGTGACTTCTAAGCAAGAAAATCATAAATCGAGCATAAAAGATCATCAACATATTTTTAGAACATTTCCTATATATTTAGAATCTTTCAACACCCATAAATAAAGCATGATCAACATGAAGCGTTAAAAAAGTTGACATCTGAAGTGATAAATTGAGTTAAATTAAAGTGACGATGCATTTTGAATGTGATGCATTAACAGTCTATTCTACATGCTACAAATACACGCACAATATAAAAAGAGAGACATTAAACGTTAAAGGCATAATTCAAATGTCAAGATCATGAGAATTTCTGGCAATTAAAAAAATGAATATTTTTAATGGAATAATCAGAAGAGTTTTCAGCAAGAAGAATTTAATATGAAGTCATAAATCTGGCAACGTGGTCGTAATTTTTTTGCACGTTAATTAATTTTTGTTGTTGTTGTTGTTTAGAGAATCCCAAGCAGATTCATAATGATGCTAGAAAATGAATAATAATTGAAAAAAAGTGTGTCACTATCATCTTCATAATTCAAATCTCTTTTACTTTTCATCTAATTTGCCCATTGTTTAGTTCTCACCATCAAGAAGAAGAAGCAAGACCCGAGCTATTTTTTAAATGTCATTATAATGAAAGATGAAAGTGATTAAATACCAAAATCCCATTTGTCACCCTACGCGGGACTTTCTTATTGAAATTATTTATCAATTATGTCTCAATTGTCTTCAGCATGAAAATGCTTCCGTTAATTATTTTATTCATTCTGATAAGTTTAATAAATACTTATTTGATGGAATTATGCTGGCATTTACACGCGATGCATAAAATATAGATCCATAACATGATGGGAAAATAATTTCTTCTTAATTGCATCTTTCAACGCGCTTAGTCGATTAATTGATGGAATTTCTGAAAAATTAATGCTAGGAAAATGAAAAAGATTTAATACAAATAGGTTAGTAATTTTATAAGTCGATCTATGCTCACCAGAAAACAATTGAATTGATGAATTTTTGAGGAAATTGGTGTGAAATTTTTGGTTGTACGGCACTGCAAGCAATATTGCATCATCGATGATTTTTTATGTATATACTCCATAGGTATAATATTAGTTTTTATCATATTTTCTCAAGAATAATTAATGACTAACATTTGGTTATGAAATCTCTGCTGGGCTGTCTATAAGACTTAAACTGTCTGTATTTCAATGCGTTGTGAAATTGAGATTTCTGCAAATTGTTAAGTTTTGTGATATTCAGTCAGTATTGATTCACCTTAGCTTCCTTATAACCTAACATTGTTGAATGATAAACATGATCCAGTTGACAATGAATTTTATAAAATCTTCTGTCGAGTTTCGACTTATTTGTACTAATTGTT